TACAAAAAGGGACTTCCATGTGGAACTTTTTTTATTGAACAGTTACAATATGTGGGAGGGGGAAAGGGATACTGCTACTTTGGCACAGCAGTGGCTGCAGTGATGTGGCAGCTTGCACCAACCAACTGGCCTGATCTTAAAGGCCTGCTAGCTGCGACTTTCGTTGGGGATTTTATATTTTTATCTAACAATAAGTAATGATTGTGCAGCAATAATTAAACTCTCTCTTCTTTTTTTTTCTTTTTTGATGTGAAAGTGAAACCCCACTCATCTTTTGTAAAGAAGAAATAAACTTGAAGCAACATGATGGAATATTGAAAAATAAAATTACATATATACCATAATATATGGAGAGAAAGGACGGCTCGTTTGCCTTTCTTAATTACTTGAGAGGCACGTTAAAATATTGACAAGAGTTTCAAGTATTATAGTTTATTTAATAAAATAAGAAAGGGAAAATAATTTAGGGTAAAAAAATACAAGAAAACTATTTATTAACTAGATTTGTAGTTGAAAAAAATAGGTTAAAAATATTTTAAAATAATATTATTTTAATAATTTTTTATTAAAAAATTAAAGTAGGTTATTTTTAAAATAATATTATTATTGTTTTAATTTTTATAATATTTTATTAAAATAACAAAATTTTAAGTTTTTTTACTTAATTTTTATTTATAAATAAGCTAATAAACACTGATATAACAAAAAAACTAAAAAAGGGACAAAATGCTCCCCTCAATTTATGAATCTGTTTGCATATCTTGTCATATTCATTTCAAGGTACTTTTTGTCGTTGTTTAATCATGGACAAGCCGCGCACCAATTTGGGCCGAATGAGCCCAAAGCTTGTAAAATCTCATGGACCAATCGGAATCCATACCCTTAGACAATTGCAAACAGTCTCCTTCCCTTCTAGATGAAACCAGGTTTGAGAATGAAGAAGGAAAGAAAAGCCAAAATATTTGTTCATTTTTGGTTTTTCAAGATTTGATCTAACATTACAATAGATTGAAAGCAAATTGAAGAAAATGTGAGAGAATAGAGTGAAAATGAAGAGAAGAGATGAAAAACAAGCTAAGATCTCTCAGCGGAGCCATGATGGTATCAAGCGCCCCTGAAGAGCACCGGAAGCCCTAGGGTGGATAGTGACAACAGTTATTGAGGTTGCTTAGATTGGTTTTTTCCGATATAATTGATATCTAAATATTGATAATTGTCATTGATCAAAAATAAATAATTGATAGCTTTTTTGTTTTTTAATCTATTTTCACTTGTCCCTTATGAATATTAACTTTTCTATTGTTATAATATTTGTATTTTTCACATAAAAAAAAAAAAAGATGAAAAGATAAATGCAAACAAGACTATTCCATCGGAATGGATCGATCAAGATGTAAGGTATGCAACTTTAGTTTATCATTTAACATAATGGATTTAGAGCCAATAGATTACCAGATCGAGAATGTTCTTGTTTAATTTTTTCTTTATAGAAGATATTTTATGTTAAATTTAATAAATATGAGATTGAATTTCCGCCCAATATTTAAAAAATATATATATAGATTGCCTGAGATACGCTGTTCCGTTAGTATCAGTTTTTTTTTTTTTTTTACAAGGATAATGATTAAAATGTTAGTGAGTTAATTGTTAAAAATTAATTTTCATGTGAATATTTCATCTCCTCAAATAAAGCACGCGGCCATCAAATCACATTTTGATGAAATTTACGATAATAATAAAACTCAAAACTCTGATTACCATCTCATCCAAACATTTAAGGTTTAGGTACGAATGATTGGATCACAAGCCCGGTTCGTTCCGTTAGTATCAGCTTGAATATGTGAAGTGAGATGGATGCTAGCGAGTTATGAGAGTAGGCCCGGGCGGTTTTATTGATAGAGTAATTGTGAATCGTTGCGACCGATTGATTGGACAGCAGACTACTACCTATACTCTCTTTAATAAATAAAAAGATTTAAAAAAATTGTCTGTCTTGTCTCTGCACATTTTAGATTGTTTTAAAAAAATTTAATCCATTAAGTGTGGCTGCTCTTTTTTTTAGACTGTGAAGTACACCTGCTAACCAGCTCGGATTGGTTTGCATTGGATAGGTTTGGAGTGAATCATATCGGATTTTAGATTGTTTGGATTAAATTATTTTGAGTATCAGATTAAGAAATTGACTTATTACCCACCTATATGAGTTTTGCATATAGAATTGGATCGATAGGATTTAATTTTAAAAAAATTAAATTTAAATTAAATTATTTTTATATTTTTT